AGAGAGAGAGAGAGAGAGAGAGAGAGAGAGAGAGAATAAGAGTTGTCTCAATATTTATAGTAGTATTACAAGTACATCTGTATTACAACTATATTACAATTGCATCTTTTAAATATTATAATAATAAATAGTAATATTTGTTTTACCAATACTAATCTAATTTTTCTTAAAACCCCTATAGATAAACACTACGCAATGTACACTGGGCAAATAGTGCAAGGTGATTTTATTGGCTCCAAAGTGTTTAAGCTGAACGTGTTTGACGAGCACTATATGCGAAGGGAGTGTATCGGAGAACCCGGTATTTTACGCCTGTATATAATGCACGAGGAGTTTGGCATAGAGTCGGCTAACCATGGGTTCATTTGCTCGGGTAAACAGTACTCCGGTGTTAGCACCTATAGTCCGGGTGTGGTTTATTCACCCGTGATTGAGGCACAGGTAGCCCAACGTGTGAATCTAGGTCATTTGATTAGGGCACAGCTTACCAACGCTTACCACATGAATAATCGACACACAAATTACCATAATAAAGTCAAAAATAATAATCGTAATAATAATAATAATGGTGTTAATAGTAGTGGTAGTAATAGTATTAATAATAACGTTTATAATAATCAGACTAGTGCATAATCGTTTTCATTAATTTATTTATATATTTTGGCAAGCAAAAATATTTTATGGTTAATGTAACTTGTTAATTATACAATAAGTACCAGTTTGGAAATAGATTTTGTAAAATTTTAAAAATCAAATTCATTAAAATTTAATATTATTTTTATAAGTATTTTAATAAAGTTTTTATATTTGATTAAGTTATGTTATCTCAATTGTAATAATGTTTAACAATTTAAATGTAATTTAATTAACATAATTAACTTATAAATAAATTATTTTGCTATAAATTATAGCCTATAATATAAGCATCTTAGAAATAACAATATTAAATAACAACAATAAAATGTTCCTGTGCACATTTACGCTGTATATAGTCTATGATTAAATAATTCAGTAACAAATTGATTAAAATCATAGTTACATAATAAGCTTATTTAAGGCAAATAAAAATATATAATAAGTTACCAGACCTATTATTAAATAGAAATTGTATCACTGAATATTTGTGCATTGTTGTATTTGTTTTTACATATTAAAAATATATAAAAATGTCATACAGGTAAATAAAAAAGGTTGTAAAATGCATTATTTTAAATTATTGATCTTATTGCCTTTTTAAAACTAAAAATTACATTTAAACAAATTGTTTTATTAAAATGTTTCATAAGTCTAGACAATCATTGATAGATAAGTACCGGCCGTTACGATACACTCAAACGATTAAATTTTTATTTTAAATAATAGACTAAAAACTCAATTCCTAGTATTATAACATTGAAATTAAATGTCTATTTTAGGAAAACCACAAACAATACACCTCTATTACAACCACTCAATACAATTGCTGTATTATTAATCCTCTTTGGATTTCCATTAGAAATGATAGGAATATTTTATTGAATTGTTGTGCGAAATAAACACTCAAATCAAATACTGTGGACATACAGTATGTTTAGAGGAGAAACCTCCAGAACTTTGTACACAGCATTTTCTAAAGGGTTAGATACGTACCAAATTGACTGATATATCACTAAAATTCTACATTAATCTAAAAAGTATATATCAGATGACATGTGGAGGAAGAGGAGGACTACAACTACACACGTGTTGATGAGTAGCAACCGATTTGGATCATTGAGCTATTATTTTGTTTAACAATTTTCATGTTGTCGTGCATTTCATACACATGTTTATTGTGTTTTAAAAGTGCATTAAACGCCGACCTCTCCTGTGATTACACTCTTTAAACACAAGAATTTAGGAAAAGAGAAAATTTATGTATATTTTTCATTAACTTAATGCCCAAAACTTTTCCATAGAAAACACCATCGCTTAGAAACTACTAATTATTATCGTTTTAATTTATAGATTTGCGGCCAAACAGAATCGTCTCATTCAAAGTCCATATGTGTTATCAAATTAAGCATTGATTATATGAAAAGCCCAATCGCTATAGACTTACACTAAAATCAATCTCTTATTTTTCATTCATTCAAAGAATAATCACTTTTCTGTAATTAACAGCAAAAACAACACACTATATAATAGCGACTATTATATCAAACAGAAAAATAAATGTTTTATTTAACTATTAATACAGATGTAATGGCGAATGCGATTCCCCGGAATGTGTTCGCACTTAATGGTGAAACTTCTCAATATTATAAGTGTATTGTATAGAAGTTTATGAGACAAGTGTTTGGGAAATTTCCACCACGACTGTTTGGGACAGCCACCCAATGATAGAAAACTTGTGGCCCTCGTGTCCCTCGTGTGCCCATTATATCGCTGTATTAAAATTGTTTTTTGTTGATAAATATAATAAACTTTTAATACGAGTTTGATATCACTTTTCACAACATATGCTCAATACATATAAATACGGAATGAGATCTTATATGAAGTTCATAATTACTTTTGACTCCCATTTGCAAAAAGTACAATTGATTGCCATTACTTTGAAATTAAGTTTATAATTAACTACTCTGTCTAGTGTTTACTGTCTATTAATTAATAATTAATTAATAAAAGTTTTGCAAATAAACAAAACAAAAAACATGAAATTCTCCGAAATGAACAATTATGTCAACGAAGACGATGTCATGGATTCAAAAAAGTGCTACAAATTTGACGCTTTAATGAACGCCGAGAGAAGACAAACGGATAGGAATGCGAGGGAAGGCCTGAAATGTTTGCTCCGATTGTTGGCCATAAAAAATAACGCAAACTTTGGTCAACAGAATGTGTTGAACGCAATGAACAATCGCTTCTCGTCCGCAACAGAGATAATGAATTTGTTGAATGAATTGCAATCGGATTCAGAGACCAAACAGACCGCAACCACTGATGACCTCCGATGGCAGACACCGGCGATTGAGTCCTATTTGCCGGAAGTGGACGACGAGTCCTATCCCGTGGCCAATAACTACGGCAATGACTCGCAATCGTATTATAACAAAACGATTGTCAATGAAATTTAAAATTCATTGAATGTTTCATACATTTAATTGTTGTAAATATGTTGTAAAATATTGTAAATAATCGTATTTATTATTTTTCTTTATAATACAATTAATCTGATTTTAATACTCATTTTAAAAATAATTTTATTTATTTTTACTAAATAAAAATTAATTAATGCAATTTTAAAATTGGCGTTATAATTATTTATGTGATCATGGTGAAATGAATTAGGAAATGTTAATTGTAGGTTACCTACTGATATGCTTTGGAAATGTTCTCTATGAAAACTAATCATGCCATTTTAATTAACTCGGATTCTGTACATAAAAATATAGACTTAATGAACAATAATACTAATTCCATACATTTATTTACATGTAAGTTCTTGACCCTCATAAAGCATCAAATAGCAAAAATACTGTATGTATTTACTTAACGTCTCAATCAATAGTTAATTAATGATTTATTAAATGATTAAAACTGAACGCTTTAAAGTATTGCCTAAATAGTCAATAATTAATTTTTAAAATTTATAATTATTAAATGCCAATTGTAATCTCAAGTATTTTTTGAGCAAGCATTTCAGACATGTATTTTTTATATTGTCCATTTTTCTTACTGAATCTTTATGAATTATAATTACAGATATAATAAGAGTTATTTAATAACTAGTTATTTTAATATTTAAAGAATTTAATAATCTAATTATTTATTTACAGCAAGCATAGTTGTAAAATAATATCATTATTTTATTACTAGTGTATAAGTAAGTTATGATAAAAATATATAACCCATTTCATGGGACATGTCTATGTTTTTTACCGGCACTTATTTTATATGTGCAGATAGTTTAGATGGGGTGGGAATTATTATAAATTATAATTGTGTGTTGTATGAGATAATTGAACATGGGTACATTTGATGTTTTCATGGGCTTTCCTCATGATTGACAATTGCACACTCATATCTCACATAGTAAATATATTTATTAGTATATATATAAGAAAGTTTTTAGTTACGTTCATAATTATAATTAATTGTGTTTGAATCAAGTTAGAGTAATATTTTAACCTTGTTTATATGGAAAGCAACGAATTGATTACAAGACCCGCACCATGGGATCGGGTCTCGTTTCTATCGAAACTTACATTCAGGTAATAAATATAAAATAATTGTTGTAATACTGTATAATGGTAAATTAATAAATTAATGCCTGTATGACCAAGTTGGGTCTGGAGTTTATTTATAACTGCCCACAAAAAGGACCTCGACTTTTGCGATCTCTACAAGTGCTCCAAAGATGATGACACAAATAAGCTATGCAATCAATTAGAAAGGTGAATTTAATTTATCAATTACAAATAATTTATTATTGTATTTTTCACTATCATTGTGTATACAAATAATATTTATTTATATTTCACAATAATCAGGCAATGGAATCGTGAGTTAGGCAAGAAAAAACCCAGGTTTGGTCGGGCACTATTCCGGACGTATGCCCTCATGTTTACCCCGTTGGTTTTGCTTTATATATTCATGGTACATTTTAGACTCTCTCTCTCTCTCATCTACTAATATGTAATACATTGCATGCCTAACAGGATGTTGGCGTACGACTGACCCAACCGGTACTCCTCGGGTTTGTTGTGCGCTATTTCCAGACCAAAGGGGCGGACATGAGCTACACTATGGCCGCCTCGTCAGCGGCGGGTGTGGTGTTGTGTTCGCTGTACTGTTCGTTCTCACAACACGTCACAGCCGTGTATGAGATGAGAGTCGGTATGAAAATGAGGGCCGCGTGTTGTGCACTCATGTACAGAAAGGTCAGTTTGCATATGACTTGTTAAATTTTGATAACAATTTTAATTAATAGTAATATTTGTATTTAATTTTGCAATACAAAGTCCCTGAGACTGAGCCGTCAAGCGCTGGGACAGACCACTGTCGGCCAGATAATTAACATGATGTCCAACGATGCTACTCGTTTTGACGAGGTAAACATTTAACAGCCAACTTCCATGTCCCTTTAAAACTATATTTAAACATAATGCATAATTCATAAAATTGCATAATTAATTGCATAATATATCGTTTTATTTTATCTTGCTAGTTCGCCTTTTACCTACATGCCCTATTCGTGGCGCCCTTACAATCAGCGCTAGTACTGTACCTATTATGGGAGCACTTGTCGTGGGCGTGTTTGGCCGGCATGACTGTGCTGTTGCTGTTCATACCATTCCAGGGCCTAATGGGCCGCACGTTTCAACGGTACCGACGTATGACCGCCCGCCTGACCGACACCCGCATCCGTTTGATGAACGAGATTATCGGCGGAATGCGAGTCATCAAAATGTACGCCTGGGAGCGACCATTCGCACAGTTGGTCTCTGAAGCGCGCAGGTATAACTGGCCAAACAATCAGGCTAAAACTGATAGGCAATATACTCATGTCACACGAGTCATGCGGTTAATAGTTTTATAATTATTATTCATGGTATATGTCTTGTAATTAACGACCAGGAAAGAAATCCAACGGATCCGATACTCGAGTTTCCTAAAGGGTGTAAACCTATCGCTGTATATAATAGTCGTGCGGATAATACTGTTCGCCTGTTTCCTGACCTACATATTGATGGGCCAGAAATTGTCGGCCGAAGCCGTGTTTGTGTCGATGGCTTTCTTTAACACAATGCGAATATCGGTGACCAAACACTTTCCCAATGGTGTGGCCGCCACTGCCGAACTCATGGTCGTCATTGGACGCGTCCAGGTACAAATAATTATTATGGTCAATTTATGAATATTTAACAATGCCCATGATGAATAGTGTAGTGCATGTAAAATATACAGTTGTAGCCAATGTTTGATAGATGTGTTATATTTGTAATGAAGTTATAGTTTTAGTGATTTATAATTATTGCTATTTTTTGCTGAAATTGTTTAGAAATTTTTATTACTCGACGAAATGGTTTCAATAGACGACAAGTGCGACAATGATATGGAAATGAAAGCAAAGAGTGACCATAAAAGTGATGATAATATCAGTAGTGGTGGTGAAGAAACCGGCATTTTCATTGACAATATGAACGTCCGTTGGAATAATGTATGCAATTGTTTGCTGTATTTTAATGTGTTTAATAATTTTAGTTGTGTTTTAAATAAAATGATTATACACTCAATATTCATTAGGATATGACTGAACCCACGCTTCGGGACATTAGTCTGAGTGTAAAACCCGGGCAACTGTTGGCTGTTGTCGGGACTGTAGGCAGTGGAAAGGTATCAATGATTTTCAATAATTATCACAATATACTAACTATTATTAATCAAACTCCTAGAGCTCGCTATTGATGTCTATATTGAACGAGTTAGAGCTAGTGTCGGGTCAGGTGGTAGTGAAAGGTCGGGTGTCGTACGCGCCGCAAGAGTCGTGGGCTTTCATAGCGAGTGTTCGACAGAATATTCTGTTTGGCTCTCAATATAATGAAGAGAAATACAATCGAGTGGTGAAGGCGTGCGCTTTGGACAGGGATTTCAAACTCTTCCCGTTTGGCGATAAAACACTTGTCGGCGAAAAGGGGGTGTCGTTGAGTGGCGGACAGAAGGCCCGCATCAGTCTGGCCCGGGCTCTGTACCACTCGGCGGACATCTACTTACTGGACGACCCCCTGAGCGCTGTGGACACACATGTGGCCAAACATATCTTCCAGAAGTATACGAATTTCCATACAAATCAAATAATATAATGTTTTGCTAATGAGTGTAATCATTGGATCAGATGCTGTGTGGAGTACCTGAGCGATAAGGCCCGGGTGTTGGTCACCCATCAGATCCAATTTCTCAAAGACGCCCATAAGATACTGGTGCTCAACGATGGCAAGTGTGTGGCCATCGGCTCATACGACGAGCTTAAAGAGCGGGGCATTAATCTTATGTCGTATCAGAAACAGCCCGAAACGGGTGACCAAAACAGGAAGTTCTTGTTGAGGGACCGGACGGTATCATTCACGCCGTCCATAGCAAGCAGTGCGGGCACCGGTGCGGAGGGCCCGGAGGTTGGGACCAATAGTAGTGTTGGCGGCGGTGATGTCGCTGATGGTGACGTTGGCGATGACGCCCCGGTAGCCAAAGCCGAAACCAAAATGACCGGTTCAGTAGAGGGCAGTGTATACTGGAATTATACAAGGGCCGGCGCCGGACCCGTACTGTTTATCATAACGTTTTTGTCAGCCCTTATCGTGCAGGTGCTATATCAGGGTGGTGATTTTTGGTTAACAACATGGTATAAAAGAGATTTATAGATTATAATTTTAGCAATAGTTATTGTAATATTTAAATCACTATACATTGTGCTAAATAATTTGTATCCATAGGACAAATGCCGAGAGTAGCGGCAAACCGGTTGACCAAACCCTATACCTGTCCGTATATTCTGGTCTAATCGGAGCCTTAATAGTGACGGCACTGATAAGCGCGACATCTTTTTACTGGATGTGTATGCGATCGTCGGTTAGACTCTATGACAGTATTTTCTTCTCACTATTGAGAGCACCGATCAGTTTCTTTGACGGACAACCGCTCGGTATGTATACCCGCTATACTCCCAATCCCTTTTGTATAACTTTTTTGTTTAATCTCTCTCTCTCTCTCTCTCTCTCTCTCTCTCTAACTCTCTCTCTCTCTCTCGCAATCACAGGTCGTATACTAAACAGGTTTACCAAAGATACGGGTGTTGTCGACGAACTACTGCCGTCCACCGCTTTTGACTTTATTATTGTAAGTCGATTGTAGTTTTAGAGATTAACTAGATAACATATTAATTTTTATCTTATTATGATTGGTGTATTAGTCCATGTCGTTAGTGTTTGGCAATCTAGTGGTGAACGCTATAGTCAGTTGGTTACTAGTATTCCCGGCCATACTATTGCTGCTATTGGTGTTTATGTGCCGCTTATTTTACATTAGGGCCGCGCGTGATATTAAACGCATGGACGGCCTGTGTATGTATCAAAATTTACCCTAATTTAATAATTTAATTTATCATGATGATGCTTGAAATCAATTAGCCCGGAGTCCCGTATACTCGCACGTGAACACCACGTTGAATGGTCTGTCGACTATCAGGGCGTTTGGCGCGCAGACTATGTTTATGAGACAGTTTGAGAGACACCAAAACGACAATACGTCCACATTTTTCCTATTCATTTGTACGTCACGTGCTTTCGGTGTACTCATGGACTCGATCTGTGTGTTCTATATCAGCGCCGTTGTGGCCTTTATTATGACCTTCCAGGGTGAGTTAGGGCAATTAATATGATCATTTGTTTGGTAGATCACAGTCATGATATGAACTATGTTTTTTACTATGATTTTTAGCAATTTTTAAAATCATGTAAAGCAAGCTACTTTTTATTATATGGTAGTTTTGATATTGTTTTTTAAAATAATAATTATGGTATTAACTAACTAATTAATTATTTGATATTATTAGATATGCCTGGTGGAAATGCGGGACTTATTTTATCATCAGGTAATAATTTACAATTTATAAGTTAAACATAATTTGTTAAATCGACATTTATGGTATATCACAACAGCCTTAACTCTAACCGGAATGACTCAATACAGTATCAAATGCTCGGCCGATCTCGAGTCCTACATGACATCCGTCGAGCGTATGCTCGAGTACTCGCGGATTACACCGGAGGCTGAGCTCGAGAGCCCTCCGGAGCGCAAACCGCCCACCGATTGGCCGCAAACCGGAGAAATCATATTCAAAGACATGAGCCTTCAGTACAACGAAACCACTAATAAAGTGCTCAAACATATCAGTGTTTGCCTCAAAGGGGGCGAAAAGGTGGGAGTCGTGGGCCGGACGGGCGCCGGCAAGTCATCAATGATTGCAGCCTTGTTTCGACTCACGGAACCGGAGGGTCAGGTGCTTATAGACGGTGTCGATATCGGGACCATAGGGTTACATGACTTGAGAAGTCGCATATCAATCATACCTCAGGATCCGGTACTCTTCACGGGATCTATGCGTAAAAATCTCGACCCTTTTGGCGAACACCCGGACGACGAACTCTGGTCAGCCCTCGAAGAGGTACAGCTCCGGGATGTCGTGCAGTCAATGCCCGGACAACTTGACGGAGAGGTGACGGAAGGCGGCGGTAATATGAGTGTAGGTCAGCGGCAATTGGTATGTCTGGCGCGGGCTATACTGCGGGACAATCGGGTACTAGTGTTAGACGAGGCGACCGCTAATGTCGACCACAGAACCGATGCTCTCATTCAGACCACTATTAGACAGAGGTTTAGATACTGNGACCGCTAATGTCGACCACAGAACCGATGCTCTCATTCAGACCACTATTAGACAGAGGTTTAGATACTGTACTGTCATTACGATTGCCCACAGACTCAACACTATCATTGACTCCGACAAAGTGATGGTAAGCCAGGGTTTGATAGGGGGTTGGGTTCGCATTACTTGTGTTGTACTCATTGTCTATGTATTCGTTGATCAGGTGTTAGACGCGGGACAAGTGGTTGAGTACGACATTCCCCACCATTTGTTGGATACAAGCGATGGTCTGTTCAGCAAATTAGTCAAACAGACGGGAAAACACATGACTATTAGATTGAAACAAATGGCAAAACAATATTATTATCACAAAAATGGTATTAAATTGGAAGAAGAAGAGGAGGCCCTGGAGTCTGGCCAAGAGAATGCTGTTATTTGGGGTGATAAATGAACTTGTTTATATTTTTTGTATTTGCTTATAGTCTGATTATGATATAAAAATTTATATTTACTTTATACATAGTCATGAAATAATTTTATTTGTTTTATTTTACATTCTAATCGAGTTTTAATCAACATTTTATTACATTTATAACTATTTGTATTTATCTATATTTGTAACAATGTTTGTGTAAATACAGTATATTAATAATGAGAAACCTTCTTATATTAAAACATTACTATAACATTATTTGATAAATAATTTTTCATTAAATTGTAATATTAATAACAAATATCAATACAATAAATTACATTTTATAAATAAGCCTGTCACAATTTTGACGTTTATTTATCTTAAATGAAAATATTATAATTCAAAACTAACTTATTGAAAATAAAGTTGTTAAGTAATTTAGTATCGCAAATATATATTTTTTAAAATAAAATAGTTGAATACATTAAAAATTTATTTATAATTTATTAAATATGAACACTACTGATAATCACATAGTTATTGCTGCTAATCATGTAAGTTTATTATAACTTGTCACTAAACCAACTAACCATAATTTAATTAAAACCAACCCAAACCCATATACAGGTGCCTCCATATGTATATCTATCGGAGAATCCAATTAATAAACGACTCGATTTAGACAGAGGTTACGAAACACTTATAATTAAAGTACTGTTAAATGTATTGAACATCACTTACGAAGTGATTGACGGCCGGGGAGTGTATGGCAGCAAACATTCACACAGTAATTGGTCAGGTATTGTGGGAATGTTGATTAATCAGGTATACTTGTTATTATTAAAGACCTTGTACAATTAAATTCAATGATTATTCTTAATACAATCAGCAAGCTGATATAGGTTTCGGTGGACTAACTTTAAACCACGATAGGGCCCAAGTGATTGACTACACGTATCCATACGAGCCTGATACATTTACGTTCACTGCCCCGGTATTGGCACCGGTCAAATTTATACACTTGCACACCATCTTTGATAACTATATTTGGCTATCATTGATCATGTTCGTATTGTTATATTGGTGTTTGGTATTTTTAATTCACGCTAAAAAGTTTACCAAATTGTCTATACTTTGGCTATTGATTACAACACTATTGAAACAATCGGTACAACTAAAACATGTCGATCGTTTTGCTATTAAATTAGTACTAGGCTCGTGGCTAATTGGGTGCATAGTTTTGATAACTTGCTATGCTGCTTGTGTGGTCACCCTGACCATTCCACGGCAACATATAATTGAAACAATATACGACTTTGTTAATATCTGTAAATATCAAGGTTTCAAGATATTTGTGTATGATAAATCGGTGTTTCATACCATGTTTAAGCCGAGTTATCTAAATAAGCAGCTTGCGTTCCACGTGGTAATTAAAATTAATCATCTGCTTATGAATTAAGACTCATATTATTATTATTTTATTTCCTAGGAGCATAATAATCTTGATGAAAAATTTGGCGAACACCTAGTAGTTGTACCTAGAGGAAAGGTTGATATATTTGAAACATTACGAGATTCACCAGGGTCGCTTGTTTATATCGACAATAGCCTATTCTTGTCGCACGCTATCAATCACTACAATATAACCGCATACGACATACCGGTGTCCAGCGATCAGACATCCATTTCCCTGGCATTGGATGCGATATTTGTAGCGAAAAATTTCCGATTTAAGCGTCAGTTTAATTGCATGTAAATATTTAAATGAATTAATTAATTTAGATGGTGATTTATAAAGTTAGTTTTAACATTTCTATTACACTATTGCCCAACTGAGTTGTGCTGGTCTAATGGATTACTGGCGTGAACCAATTTATCAAGACCAAACACCGCCGCCGAGCCGTTATAGTTTTTACCAGTTTAATGTTGATAATTTTCTCACTTTATTTGTTACTCTCATTAGTGGTTATATAGTAACCTTGGTAGTTTTTTGTATTGAAATAATCATGTTTTTTAGTTTTAATGTTTAATCCATACTTTTAGTTTGTATAACAGGTGTAGAGTGATCAACATATTTGTTTTATATGTTAGGTTTATTTAATTGCTTAATTACATGAGTAATATATTTTAGTAAGGTTTTATTGTTATGATTAATAAACTTGATACACCTGCACACTTTTTGATAATTATATTTGGCTATCATTCATCATGTTTGTATTATTATATTTGTGCTAGGTTTATTTAAGTAATAGCCAAACTGTCTATACTATGGCCATTGATTACAATACTATTGAAACAATCGGCACATCTAAAACATATTCTCATTAAAATATATAAAATAACAAAATTAATTAATTGTAGATTTTCAATATTTGTTTATTTAATGAATAAAAGAATTTTACGATTTTACATAAATATTTATAAATAATTATTGCAATGAATGTCTAATTAAATGTCATTTTGATGCGGAAGTACTTGGTCACTCTGTTCACCGTAATTTTACCGGATAAATACTTCTTCATATAAGTACCACCGGTATGTTCCTCGGCTTTCATCGAGTTGGACAACAAAACACTAATACGTTCTTTAAAATACACGGTTAAATGCTCTCCGGAATGATAGCAGATCAACGATTCTCTAGTATACCTATGCATATACTTTGACAACACCTCAACTATATAACTGATATCGACGGCACAAAAACCAGACTTAACATGAAATAAAGTTTTTCCATAGTTGTGGTGTACTTTGTATTCATAGCTATTGATAAAATATATTAATAATTAATGTTAAAAATAATAATATAATGAGTGCTATTTTTCCTAACAATATAAATTTAAAAAATATAAATTCAAACGATTTTTTCTATAAATATAAATAATTCAAAAATAAACAGTTAATATATCTGTAAATAAATGTTAATTTCTATTTGACTATTAATTTTAATCTAACTTTAATTTTACACAAAATTATAATATAAACTAAATATTGACTAAAATTTATAATTAATAGCTTTAAATGTATCGGCTAATCATAAGGTAATTTTAAAATTTTAAGTTAATTTGAAAATAATTAATAAAATAATATAATACCTATCGACGGAAACAATAACAATAATAACGATTGCAATACATAGTAGAGATTTGAAACCCATATTTAAATACAATTTATAAATAATTAATTCAATTCAATAACAAAAATAATTTAATTATAATTCAAATTCTTTGAAATTATATGAAATAAACGACTGATTGCTTTCAAATGTAAAACAGGATTAAACGATAAATGTTTTACTTTTAATAAACCAACAATTAAAACGTTCATTCAATTAGTGTATTTTTAATGTTCATATAACGTAACAATAATATAAAATAAATGTAAAAATCTATTGAAATAAATGCCACAATTGATAGACAGTAACCGAATAGCAATGATTTGAACACAACTCTAAATATTTGGTCCATTCGTATCACAAATGAGGGTTTTGTATGCAATAGGACTCCAATCGAGTTATCATTTCATTTGAATTGTAATGCATTTTAAGTCTACCAATCATTCCGTTAATAATCTCTTCAATAAACTCATTGTGAATATAAAGACCACATTCTATACAACGCTTAACACTATTGTTAATAAATTATAATTTGTTAATTATTTGATAAAATTAAATAATAATTGTATTTTATATAACATTTAACTTAATAAATATGACGTTATTTATTATTTATCTGATTTAATTACACAGAAACAATTTGTTTGCCATACACCAAGTTGTTATTTGTGGCCACAAAATATCTGGTAATAAATCGCTTCAAACCGGTGTCCACTCCAACCATACCTAATGTCGGGAATATTCTTTGCATTCTATTTATAGATTCCGTATTTAATATAACAATTACTTTAGCAGTCATTAAGTGCTCAATAATTGTTTAAATTTTTGTGTTATACTCAATTGTTTTAGCAAATTTTGATAATATATTTAGTATATTTATTGTTTAGTATTTTATATGTTTTGAGACCAACTGTTTGTTTAAGTATTTTCCCATTTTAGCCAATGCCAATAATCATTACATTTTTGTCGACTACTATTTCATCAATGCTGTTATACATCGGTTATATATTTGTATAAAAATAATTGCTTAATATTTGACTGGTAAAGAACCAGGTGATATTTGCTGAAACAATTAGCCAAATACTAATCGTTATTATCTGGCCAATTGTTATCACATATCAATATATTCAATGATTACATTTATTTCTTATTAAATAGTCTACAGATGTAAATATGTTTGTCACCATAATTTTTATCCTGCATTTATTATTGCCTATTGTCTAAGTAAAGTCTACTGTCTATTGTCTATTGTCTTTATGTCTATTTTACTCCTAATTATGACCAGGGTCGCGTTGCTCACAATGAATAAATGCCGGACGCAGTATTCATAATATAACCATAATCAAATCTAAAACAAGTTGCCATTTATAATAAACTCCCAGTGCCTGTCGCCTCTGATCGGTGGGCAGGCGTCGGATACACTTACGGCTGTATCGCATATGTGTTTCAATCAGTAATACCGACACCAATGCCAGCCAAAGCAAAACCTCAAAACTCGGTACACACTTATGTCAGACAGAGTTAACAGATGCCGACCCCTACCCCACGGCCACCGAGAAGCGCCAACACTGAACAACTGTGCTCTCACCCGACCCATCCGATTGTCCCGATCGCCGGCCGACCATATCCTGCCACTGATCGGCATATCATTGTCTGATGTATGGGTGGCCGACACCGACTCATCGTTGTCATTACTGGCCGCCGCCCGACACCGCATATAGTGTGCCCACAAGTGTTAACATGTAATCCATGGCCGCAATAGCGTTGCAGATGTCGGCCCGTGTGGTGCCAATCGGCAGATCACTGTCCGCTGTGTCTCGCAATCGTATTAACGCAATGTAAATGTCTCTCAAGCGGCCGATTATACACCGAGTGTTGGACACCCGGTGAATGTCAACGGAGCCCCTGTATTGGTCGGGTGCGGGCACACCGATGGCCGGTATGTGTGGCATATGTTTAATAAATTCACTCAACGTTATAATGAGATTACTATTCAATAGTTGTGGTGACGGTGTGGTCGCCGACCGGACCTCCCGTTTTACATCCGGATCGTTGAGCCAATCCATGCCATTCTCATGTGTGGCCATCACTTGGTGTCCGTTTGATGTCTATTTAGACATAGATTTATTTGTTTGCCTTTCTGATTATATTTTCAACTTTTTATTATTGCGTAAACTTTTTTTATTTTTCCTTGTTTTGATTATTTGTTATATTTTATTTGACGATTTGTTTTGCAATAATAACTTGCATTATCTCATAAATAAATGTTCTGTGACTGACGCACAGGCAAATAGAGATTCAGATTCACTATGATTCAAATATGATTGGCAAATTTGAAAATTCAACCAAGCTCATTTGTTGGCCTTGTAATTTACCAAACCGGACAGTTTTCCTGTATATAAGGGATTGTCAGTATACATTATTGTCTACACATACAACAATAAATTTTACTAAAATTCCAAAACTCATCTAAATCTATGGTTGTTAGTGTCACATGATGTCATAAGACACTCTACGTTACGTAGCATGATGCATATGCCTTTTTCCCTATCCAACTAGAATTTAACTCAAACTAGAACTACAACTCTATGGCTATACTTTAACATCGGTCTCGGCTTGCAATCCCAATCCTATATGTAGAGAGTAGATTTTTCGGTAGCAAAAACACAGTGAAAATTAACATGGTCAGATTCGAGAATTTCGTTTTTATTTTAGTCTAACACAATATTTGCACAATCAATTTATTTTTAAATGATTTATATGCACTATGTACACCATAATTGCATTTATTAAGGTGATAATAATTAATAAGCAATAAAAATTCAAATCTATAGTTTCTTATGCTTTATATTATCAATTAATTTCATATCTATAAACATTGTTTTTCTCTATTCATTGTAGTATACCATAAATTTATTACAGATAATATATAGTTTGCATCAGGTTTTGATATTCATTTAACAAATTGATTATGAATTTGATTGAAAATCTATATATATTGTTAAAAAGTGCATTTTTGGAAGTTTTACTAAAAATAAGCCAAAATTGAGAAAAATACATAATAGTAGAATCGCTTTACAATCCTTGTTTGTTTCTAATATAATTTCTTATCTTTACATTGAATATAAACTCAACATTTTGATGTATGTTATATTCAAGTCGAACTGTAATTGAACTTTTATTAAAAATGAATCATAATTTCCTCAATGCACTTAAGGGTTATAGCCATTAAAGTAAAAGTTAAAATTAATTCTGAAACAAACATTATTTTATTATAATTAATTTAATTAATTTTTAATTATTGTCAATATTTGCTGAGCAATTATATATTAATTAAAAACAATTATTTGGTTAAGGGGAGCCGAACGATCCTATAAACCACATTATTCATATCAGAATAGTGGTTAAAAATCGGAGTTCTATAACTTTCCACTGAAAAATAAATGGACTATTATTGAGCATAAAATGGTACATGAGCAGTTTAAAGAAATCGGAGTTCGATAACTTTCCACTGTGAAGAATAAATGGACTAATATTGAGCATAAAATGGTACATGAGCAGTTTAAAGAAATTGGAGTTCGATAACTTTCAACTGTGAAGAATAAATGGACTATTATTGAGCATAAAATGGTACATGAGTCTTTTAAAGAAATCGGAGTTCTATAACTTTCCACTGTAAAAAATAAATGGACTATTATTGAGCATACAATGGTACATGAGCAGTTTAAAGAAATCGGAGTTCTATAACTTTCCACTGTGAAGAATAAATGGATTAATATTGAGCATAAAATGGTACATGAGTCTTTTAAAGAAATCGGAGTTCGATAACTTTCCACTGTGAAGAATAAATGGATTAATATTGAGCATAAAATGGTACATGCGTCTTTTAAAGAAATTGGAGTTCTATAACTTTCCACTGTGAAGAATAAATAAACTATTATTAAGCATAAAATGGTACATGAGCAGTTTAAAGAAATCGGAGTTCTATAACTTTCCACTGTGAAAAATAAATGGATTATTATTGAGCATAAAATGGTACATGAGTCTTTTAAAGAAATCGGAGTTCTATAACTTTCCACTGTGAAGAATAAATGGACTAATATTGAGCATAAAATGGTACATGAGCAGTTTAAAGAAATTGGAGTTCTATAACTTTCCACTGTGAAGAATAAATGGACTAATATTGAGCATAAAATGGTACATGAGTCTTTTAAAGAAATCGGAGTTCTATAACTTTCCACTGTAAAAAATAAATGGACTATTATTGAGCATAAAATGGTACATGAGTCTTTTAAAAAA